GTTCTTGTTCTCCCTTGATATCAGCTGCAGGTGAGCTGGGATCGAGACAGGTTGTTGTCGCTGTCATTTTGATACGCCCTGGTAGGGTGGTAAGGGACCCCTGGGGGGGCGACTTGATAGCACTCCACAAAGGCTTTGGCCCATGACAAGTCCTTCCACAGGAGGCAAAGTTGTTCTGAAGGCTTCCAAACCTGCGTGGATGGCCTGAGTGAGAGCAGTCCAAACAGATTCAATAATGTTCAAGTATGCCTTTGTCTGGTCCCAGGCATTCATCATTGGCAATTATTACCCCTTTACCTGTAACATGGATACTTCCAACAACACAATCGACAAGGGGGTAGCAAATGTAGGGGATGTACGCCACAATTACTGCAGATGGGTCTGCCTTGTGGATTCCAACTGGAAAACGGATGTTCTGGTGAGGGCTGGCCATGAGCTTTGTAGGTGTAGGATTTGTTTCTCTGTTGAATAGATGTAACCTCATTAGTTGTTGTTGACAGACTTTAATCTGCTTCACGATTCACATGGAATAGTTGCAATTAAGCCTATATTTGGCTCTTTAATTGTTCCAGGTATATTATATATGGCTGGGACAGTGACCCTCTGAGATAATAGGGCATCATCTCATAGCCCCTGTCAGGAGCCCGAGCCTCTGCACAGATTGCCTTGAAGGTCAAATTTTCATTCTGCCGTATTTGTCTGTTCAACTCCTGACTTATAGGCCCGCCAGCTAATAGCCCCAGCATTAGTTGGTCAAACAACAGGTTGTCGCCTTCTTCAGGTCCACCCTCATCACTCTTGCCATCTGAAAAACAATTCTTGTAGTCTTGGTAGAAAAGTACTCACTTTTTCATCAGCCCTTTGTTTTCAGTAAAAAAGAAACTTGCCCATAGTTGTGCCCTTGTGGCTGGTTTACTATACAGTTCTTATAAGGCATCTAAAAGTTGATGTCCAAACTTTCTTTCTGTGGTTCTGTGGTCCTTGAATTTAGTTTTGTCACTATCAAATTTAGGAATATAAGAAGCCCCCATAAACCAGCCTGTCTCCAGAAGCCTACAAACACCTCCCGTGTGTTGCCGCTGCTCTCCTGGTCTTCTGATTTCGTCCCTTGCTCCTCCGCTTTAATTATGCTCCATAATAAACTTTAAAATCCATCAAAACATGCAGACACAGCTAAATGAAAGTATAACAACAAATAAAACGTGTGCACTTAAAAAAAACAGCTGAAAATATACTTCCTTTTGACAGAAAGCACAGGAAAGCACAAAAAATACAAAAGCAAAGGAAAAAGCACAAGTTCACAGAATCAAAAATCACTGGGGTTGAGCCAACTATAACACATGAAGAGCAATCTGGCAGAATAGGAGAGATCAACTGGGGTTCTTAAATAGTCCCTGATGAGAGTGAGATGAGGAGCAGGTGTGTGCCAGAAGCTTCAGCATCAGGAAACCACGCTCTGCCTCTGAAACACATGGAGACCACACAAGCTGTGCAGGGGGACAAACCCACAAAAAAACACCACAAAAAAAACACCACAAAAAAAAAAAAAAGTACCACATTTTTCAAAACACCACAAATATTCAGGGCAGCCAGGGCAAACAGGATCATGAGTGAGCCCCACCACTCAGGTAATAGACTGTTTATGTGGCTACCCTCTGGCAGGCGCCTTCAACACATCAAGGCGAACACAGAAAGACTCAGGAAGAGCTTCTTTCCTCAGGCTGTTCGGACTGTTGACTCCACTCTCCTCAGTTAAAAACAAAACAGAACTGTGACTACATGATGCACACACACCACACATTCCAATCTGCACATTGCACTTTGACACCCTGGACACTTAACACACTGACACTTTACACTGTTTACATTTTTCTTGTGTTGTATATTCAAAATTTTTTAACATTTTCTTTTACATTATATTTCTATATTACTGTATATATGTGTATTAGTAATTTGAGTGTTTATTGCATGGTCTTTGCATTTCCCTGCACATCTGTATAAGAATGTGACAAATTAAAATCTTGAATCTTGAACATCTGTGTATAAATAAGCAAAATCTATTTTGTTAAAGCCCACAATTTTGAGAAAGTCAACACAAATGCAGGTTCAAAGTGGCAGGAGTTGACTCATGTGCTTTGAGTCAGAGGGAGGGCAGCTCAATGCTGTCTTTTCAGTGCTGTTGTTGCAGTGAAATAAAGAATCTGTTAAGATAATAATTGTTTTCAAAATTCTAACATTTTTAGGTGCATCAGAATAAAGGTCAAGGCTGCTCTCTCATCAAAATAATGTTCTTGTTTCAGAACTGAATCAGATGTAAAAAATGCCTTAAAATCATGTGAATTGATAGGATGCGCACATATTTATGCAAAAAAAAAAACATTTAGACAAAGTTATACATACAAATAGGACCACAGTGTTCTCTGCTGGAGAAGTAATGTAACTGCCTCTCCACTGATTTTGTAACAATAAGTAACTGCATCAGCAGAGAAGGAAATTTTCATTACCATGTTTGACTTTGTGCTCTATAAATCAAAGTATATATATATATATATATATAGCCTCCATGACTCCACCAGTGCATGTATGCCTCTAACAAGAAACAAGACACACACACACACACACACACACACACACACACACACACACACACACACACACACACACACACTGTTACACATCAATAGATGTATTCAAAGGTTATACATAGCTTACCGCAGCATGACTTTGAGTGTGTGTGTGTGTGTGTGTGTGTGTGTGTGTGTGTGTGTGTGTGTGTGTGTGTGTGTGTGTGTAAGGGAGGGAGGGGAGGACTGCTGGGAAGTAACTTGATCAGAATGAAGTACGTTGTTAATTTCACCCTTTCCCAGTGAAAAACAGAGTGACAGGGGAATGAATGTAAAAAGTTTTTCTTACTGACAGATCCTACTCTGTCAGATTTTAATTCTCTTCAAAATAAAAATATAATAAGGACAAATAACTGATCCTGAGTAGAGAAACTTTCTATTATAGCCTAATAATGAAGGAGTTTATTGTGATTGTCCTCTTGATTTTTAGACCTAAAATGAACAGTCTGCTTGTTCAATGGTGAATCAGAAAACAAATCAAATTGGCAGTGATACTCCTTATCATACCCATTTCATGAAAGTTATGTTCAATATTTCATTCTTGATCCTCATGTCTCACACTTTTTGAATCTCAGCTCTTACTGAAACGTAATAGTCTGTTTAAAATACCCTTAAGTAATTGGACTTGTAGTTTGTACAGTCTGACGACTCAAACACTTTTACACCCATTGACATTATGGCAGAGGCTACTATGTAAAGTGTCCATCAGAAGTAATTAATCTCATTCAAACGCATTTGCACACCGCAGACGATACAGCAGGAGCAACATGGGGTTAAGTGTCTTGCACAAGGACATCAGCTGCAGGAGCCGGGGATCAAACCCCCAACGGTTGAGAGACGACCGACTCTAACAAGTGACCCACAGCCGTCTGTGTCTGTTCCATTATATAACTCTGCTGATAGTAATACGTTTCATTAAACGATCTGCTGCATTGTCCAGTCAATGAGTGATCTTTCAATAAGGGGCATAGCTGTGAGTAAAAAGACTTCCATGAAGACTGTTGTCCTAAAATAATGTCATGTTCAAACAACATGAACACACAAGCCTCCGTAGAAGAAATAAAACAAGACATTTTAAGGCCTGGCAACAATTTCCATAGAGCATGAACTGGCACAGAGAAATGATATAGCATCGGCATGCTCACCTCTGAAAGGTAGACGAAAGCTATTTTTTCTTTATAGCCGTTTAAGTTTCTGATATTGTGGGAATTTGTACTTTTTTTTGTGGGACTACAAATGTGGAACTACATGTCTGGGTTTATGGGACCCAGACATGAAAGTCTTCTATGGGAGAGATTTGCACTGGAAAGTTTATTTTGAAGAGCTGACACAGGTTGTCTGGAAAATAGCTCTAAATGTTGTCCTGAACCTGCTGTATAGGTTTGTCCAAGCGTATTTAAGCTATAATGCCTACCTGATAGTTTTACGTGTGTTACTCTTGATTTGTTGGGACTATGAGATGGCATCATTTCTTACCAAGGTACGCTTTCCTCTGTTTGTATCTTTGATGCAATTTAAGGAGGTGGATGACAGAAATCTTTCCACTGAAAGGTGTTTAACAGTTCAGTCAAATTCCTTTATTGTACAAGCCAAAATGTCATAAACACATATCAACATTATTGCTGTAACTCGCTACTGACAAATGGCTGTAATTTCCGTTCACTACCTTTCTTCATGCTATGACTTTTATCACAATCTTTGCTGACAATTTGAAATCCATTTTGGAACTAAAGAAGCTCGTCTACTGCTAAATGAATAAATAATTTGTCTTGTCTACTTTCCCCCCCGACTCATCTGTAAACTTAATTTATCCATCTTGTATTAGAATGATGCTTTAAAGGGCCTGTAGTCCTGGCCAAAGCCCAACTCATTTTTGGTTTGAGGACATTCATTGTGTCACCCATTCCTTTACATTTGCTCCCTATTTGACCAGTATTCAGACATGACTGTTATATAGTCTAAAGTAGAAGTCTAAGGAATTAATACCTGCTGTAAAATGTAAAGGTCACATATTCTCCTTCTTTTCAACCAGTTTAAATAAGTCTCAGAGCTCCCCAAAACATGTCTGAGAAGTTTATAAATCCACTCTGATCCTGTATTTGAGCATGCCTACAAACCCCTGCAGCCTGTTTCAGCCCTGCTCAGAACAGGCTGTTTCTGTGTCTGTAGCTTTAATGCAAATGATCTGTGTCTGACCACGCCCCCTCTCTGGAAGGGCTTGGGTGACTGGCTCTTTTTGCTCCATGTGTATTGTTTACAGTGAGAAGGCTGACTCAGAGGGCAGAACAAACACCTAACTGTGGGAGTGTCACCCACCTGGGGGAGGGGTTACTGCCCTTTGTGATGTCATGAAGGGAAAATCTCCAAACGGCCTGTTTGAGCACACATTTTCTGTAAGAGTGGCAGGTAAGTGACAGAGAGGATGGACTTTGCTCATTAGTTGGGGGGATCGTAGACAAACTAGGGACACATATTAGTGTTAGAGAAATACTACATAATATGTAACCTTTAACTTAGCCTAAATTGACCTTTTGTCATCAAAGTATCAATGTTCAATATTCAATTGCAAGACCACTGAAATATAAATCTCTTTATCCTAATATATATTTATATATTTACATAGCATTGGTGCAGTTCATTTAGGACAGCTGTACTCACATTTGAACAGCTTCCAAAATGCACAGTACAAAAAAAAGGAAAGATAAAATCCTATGTTCCATCGTGATGACATGCCATAATGAGATCATTAGGCAGTTAAATCCAAAGAAAACATTTAGAAATAGTACATTATAAAGAGGAAAGAAGCATATTCCAGTGTTCAGGTGCTTTTCCTTCTTCTGCATCCGGTGTTTTCAGCTCCATTTACTTGTTCCCATGCTGACTGTTTGGAAACCTTGGGAAGAAATATAAATGTACTCTGTGTTGTCCAAGATAGGGAATCCTGGCTGAGGACAATTTATCTTTTTGGTTAGCAAGACAAATAATGTCCTCTAATTGTTTGTGACTTCTATAATAGATATTTTCTTCCAATCTGTCACAAGAGACCACTTCACTCCTGTTGCTACAGGAAACTAGCCACCTTTAGCAACCGTTGTATCCTTTGATAAGTAAACTACCCAGTAGACCATATTAAAAGCTCCAAAGGACACTGGGAAAAGAATCCGAGCATACTTGTCAATTTTGCTGGTTTCACCCATACCAGCAGTAGTGGGCTGGGAACATGGCGTCTGCTTATGCTCCAATTTGTTTCCTTTCACCTGGATGCGCTCCAGCTTAGGCGCTAGCAGATGTTGCAAAGAGGAGGAACAAGCGTTCTGCTTGCATGGTGTCCCGGCCATTATTTCTGTTGTGGAAGCTGCACCTTGCGGTGTACTCTTCACTAACTGGGCAGATGAGGAGGCTAGACTGAGCAGGCTCTCTGATTTAGGGCTGGAGTAGAAGAGGGTGTATGATCTGTTGTTGTCTCCACTGGCCAAGGGTTGCAGTGGTCTTGCCCTACCAGCTCCTGAAATGTTTGTGGTAGACTGAACTTTGAGTTTACTGCTGGACTCTTGGGAAATATAGTTCATTCGCTTCCTTAGATTTCCATTTGGGTCAGGATTCTGCTGTGGATGAAAAGAACATCAATGACATGTATAAGGGTGGCCTCCTACAGCTATCATCAAAAAAACACTTTATGTCAAACTTGGGTTAAGCATAGACTGCAGAAAGATGTGAACTGTATCCAACTTATACTTCATTTGATATTAAGGCTAAGTATAAAAGTCTAGTGACTTAGTATAAAGAACAATATAGTCTGGCCTGAGTTGGCCATAGGTTTGCACTCTGCCACCATTGCTGCAATCTGCACTTGTAGTGAGCGAGAATGAGAAAGTAAGACAGGCATAGCAATCGTAAAAAATGCTGGAGGAGGATTAGTGAATTTTAAAATAATCTATTTTCTCATGGCAGCAATTAGTCAGTATGAAATATGCTGTTCAATATGAAGGTTTTTTTTTTTTACAATTCTTTAATGGCCAAAAATAATCGTCATTACAAATGGTTTTATTTTAGGTGTATAAAGGCAGAATGTGCAACAATTTACACATGAATGCAGCAGAAATCCAGTATATCATCTATAAATGTCTCTCTGAGTCATGACTGTCTACAATGAGTGAGATGTGTGAGTCCCGATGTCTCTCTCTTTTCTGAGCCATATTTACATGGATGGGACGGCTTGCGTAGCGCTTCATTATGGTGCGTACCAATTTGATAACTTCCCCCTTATCAAATTGGAGAGGGGTTGGTGATGTGTCGCTGTATCATAGCGGAGGATTCAGTGTGATGTCGCCAAACACCAGTCTGTTTTGGTTTCATGCTGGTGCTCGAGTGCGACATCTACTGGATCAAAAAGTCACACATTCTGCCTTTAAGTTTAAAATGTTAATATATGCCAATTATATATTTCCAACCAATATTTTAAGTTATTGAATATAAATATTGTTACCAGTCTTTAAACATTCCAGTATAACTTTATTATGCAGAATATTATTTAATATGAATATTTTTTTTCTAACAAATGCATGGCAAGCTTAAGTCCTGATTTGAGTGAGTCATACAAAAAAAATGATGATGACCCATATTTTAGTGAAAGCTCTGTCGGGTAAAGATTTTAATATTTAAATGTGTTTGCAGTTTGGATAAAACTTTTGCTTTCCTTACTAAAATGTAGGCTTAGCAACATTACCACATCATATTGATCAGACTAAGTTACTCCGACACAGCTGGCCTTCATCTGGAAACAGACTGTGTGTGCAGTACAGATGTCACTTATTAATGATGTCACTCATTTCACACAGGCTTTAGACACAAAGTAGGTAGCACTTCATGGGGACTGTAATGCAACATAGCGTCGAAGCAGATTATCCTTCAAAAGTTGATGTTTTCAAGCAGGAAGAGTGTGATGCTGGCACTAAGGCATTTGCTAAAATAATCCCCACTCTGTAACGGAGGGATACAGTTTCATACTGTCTCATGTGCAGCAGATGAAATGTGAGTATGGATAGCTGGGCTTGTTTTTTCCTTAAAGAGGTATAGGGCTTGGGCACTGGGACCATCAATGCACACCTAACCCCCATGCCAAGCCTTTTAGAAGTGCTAACAGGGACTGCTGTCGAAGAAAAGGAATATTAATTTCCCCCCCCCTTCAGTCCCAGAGTTGTTCCAAAGCCTCTTCAAATGTGCCAAGGCTGGTTGCCTTGACAACCCTTTAATCCACATTGCTGTTGTCACTATAGGGCATACAGACATGGTTATCTACACTGGGATTTGGACTGGGAGAGCAATTTAAAGCAATTAGTGTAAAAGCTGACATGTGCATTGCTAGGTTATGTCATCTGAAATGATAGGTCGACAATGGAACTTGAAATTCTAAGAGGTACAGAATGCTTTTCCCCTCTTGTTACTGCCTACCCCACTATAAGTGTTAATAGACCATAAATACATTGCAACAGTTACATGAACATTATTTGTAAGACATGCCTCGTATACAACAATGAGAGAGAAATAGCTTCAAGGCATTTTCATGAATTTTGTGATACAGAAAAAAGCGATTATGTCAATTTAATTATGTGGACCTTAAAGTAAAGGTTATGGTAAAGAGCAGACATGATCACAAAAAACTCATGAACAGTCAAATATGTTCAGATTTTCGACGCTAAAAATACTACATTTGTATTATTTTAATTATCAGTCCAAATCAGATTCTGGTGGTTTGTTTTCTCTGCTTGTTGTATCCTTTCAGCTCTTATGAGCCGGAGCAAAGCTGAAGATCCTCACGTCAGGCCAATCAAACTCTAGGCTAAAGGCTCGTTTATGAATGTTGGGTAAGCACATTTTGTAGACAGGGTCAATAGGCAGCTAGTCATTATGATGTGGTAAATTAAAGCCTGTATATTGATGCCTCTCAAACATAAAATGTCACTAAATATCAAACTTTATTGACAGATCCACATCATCGTTATCATTTAAACTGACAATTTCATTTATACGAGTTCCTGTATTGTAGTCAGATGTTATATATATATTTTTCATTTTTTATTTTAAGACCTCCATATATTTCTTCAGCATTGTCTCACCTTCATTATCCCGGAACAGCAGATGACCAGACTGTACACTAGCTTAATTATAGGAATCCAAAGTAACATCAAAACGCATTAAAGGTCCCATATTATGCTTTTTCTGGTTTTATATGCCCTTAAGTGTGTTTTCCAAGTGTACTGTGCATGTTTAGGCACATCTATGTGCAAAAATTCAAAGTCCGTGGAAACGCAGCTTCTCCTACCTCCTCCTGTTAGCTGTAGCATTAGCTGCATGAAACGCTCGGTTCTAGCCCCCCTCGATAAAAAATTGTCAGTGCGGTGTCATTGTCAGTGTGAGATCACTGATCTAAGCCCATTGGCTCGTTGTGGCAAGCCCAGCAGCTCATGTTGAAATTTCCAAGAACCGTGCTGAGCAACTGACCAATAACGACAGAGCGGATCGGCAGACCAATCAGAGCAGACTTGGCCCACGTGGGGTCTAACAGTGTGGGCTCAACAGAGTGCAGCTGACGGACTCAGAGCGTAGAGGGAGCAAGGAGGAGCAGTACATGAAAACTTTAGCTATTGTGAACGTACAAAAGTAGGTACATAGATTAAATATACGAACCCCAGAAAGAGCATAATATGGGCCTGTAGCACCAGCAGTTTTCATAAATGTCTTGTTATATTGATCGTTTACCACAGAGTGTGAGTTTTAGTTGTAATAAAAATAACTGCGCCTAACATGAACAGAGACACCATGGTGGCTGCTTCACACACTTTTGTGATTTGCCAAAATTAGGAAATTAAGCCAATCACACCATTGCATATAACAGACACAGTGCAGGCTAAGTTTGCAATGATAAAACCCACAAAGTCTCTTGCTTTAATAAACAATATGTGCTCTGTAACCTTCACTTCATTCACAAACACCTTTCCTCATCAGAAAAACAATGTTCTTCATCTTCCTCACGTTTGTATGCATTTTAATTCATGAGGTCTTTGCATTGACCATTTGTGGTTGAATGTGGGCGTGTAGATGGCAGTATATGTGACTGATCAGCATGCACACATTTCAAGGTGGATCATGGCTTATAAAAGGAACATTGCGTGCAGGTGTGCATGCATAAGATTTGATCGATCAGAATTATTTTGTTGCATACCATTTTTGGGCTCTTTGGTGCGTTCAATTCTAGTATGGCTACTACGCACTGTTTAATAAATGAGACCCCAGATCTGTAGGCACATAACAAGGGTAATGCTGTGTAATTGCTCCTTGATTTTAAGTACTATCAGACTATTTGCCAAAGCCCCTCTGAGGGAAACAAAAATCACCTGCAGCACGTCGTCTGTGTCCTTGACCGTGAGAGGCGTTGTTTTGGGCACTTGAGGACATTTGGATTGCTTCTTTTTGGTCCGCTCGATCTGTGCGTTGGTGAAGTAGTTCACAGCTGCAAACTCAATAAGGGCAGAGAAGACGAAGGCAAAACAGACAGCGATGAACCAGTCCATAGCAGTGGCGTATGAGACCTTGGGAAGGGAGTGGCGAGCACTGATACTGAGTGTCGTCATGGTCAGGACAGTTGTGATGCCTTCAGTGGTATCAAAAACAGAGAAAGATCAAACTTATGAGCCTGTACGTACATGTAGATAAATGTTTTAACCTCTGTTGGAGGTCACTGCAGTTTTACCTGTTAAAAAAACTGATATAATGAACTGATTTAGTAAAAATTGGACTGGATCAAAAAGGAAATACCATTGTATTTGAAGAAGTAGATATTATTTATTAATCCCGCAGGGGGGAATTAAATTGTACACTCTGTTGTTGAGACATGCTACCTGCACACAGGCTGAAATACACAAACATGCACAAACAGGATTCTTCAAACATGCACTAATGGTGAGATGTCAGAGTCAGGGGGGCACCCACAGCGAGTGCTCCTAAGCTGGTGCGAACTTGGTGCCTTGCTAAAATATATCTTGGCACTGCTCAGGAAGTGAACTGGCACCTCTCCAGCAACGAGACTAATTTCCAGACTAGGTCCGCACCAGAACTTGAACCGACGACCCTCTGGTTCCCAACCCAATTCCTATGATTATCTTTACATGTACGTCATTGCCAAAAAAAATTGTGACAGAGACAGATTGCAGTATTAATTAACCCATCTATAATATGTTAGTTCTCTCAATAATCAAATTTCATTAACACATGCAAGGCTATAATGAACCAAATACATTTGAAGCTCTAAAATGAACAAATCTGGTTGTCTTTCATTGTATGCCACTTGCCTACCTGGGCAAGTAGCATTTCTCTGGGTGTTCCTCAAAAACAACCTTTGACACATACATTGAGAATTTTGATCCATTAATAATTCAAAAACATAATAAATCACATGTAAATGATTTCTGATTCTTTGGTTGTATCTCTTGGTGTTTGTAGTTATCACACAGGTATCAGCTGGTTGTTGCATATTTTTCAGAAACTTAACACCAGTAACGTTACAGTCTGTTGTACATTGCATATCAAATCAAACTCCAGTACAAAGCCCTGTGTTCGCTCCAAAACTGAAGATCTAGGGCCCTATCGTTTGCTCTGTGCAAAGCGGCTTGGCGTGCAGTGCAGGTGACTTTCCTATTCAACTCTGACCCAGCTGTCATTTTAATACCCAGCGCTCACGTTGTATAAATAGCAAATACATTTTCGCTCTTGTTAGGGCCCGGGGGTTGTTGTTTTAAAGCGAGGTGTGGTCAGACACAAAGCTGCCACGTTTCTCTCATGAGGACGTAGAAAACGACTGTGCCTTCAACCACCAAAAACCTGGTCTAAAGTCAAAAGCCTGACGCAGTATGTTCCTGATATTAAGGGGAAGCATTTGAAAGATCTGCATAGAAGTTCACAATGTACACTGACCTTAATCCACACAAACAGGTCGACAGCACAAAAATAAAGAATCATCAAAACTAGAGAGAGCAATTAAACATTCCCACAGGCAAAATTAATTATTTCACACGTGCTGATATTGACTTCCTCACATGACGCTCAACGCACAGTACCATGTCACAACACATTTAAAAGCTCTCATGCAGTTTCTCACGAATGGACATTAATATAGGTATAGCTATTATTTTGCTAGCTTGATGCTAACACAAGGTACAATTAACATTAACAAGCTAAGAGAATTAGCATGGAAATTGCTGTAACTCTGACTGAAGAAACAATCTATTCAGTAAAATTGATCATATCTTAAGTTAAGAGATGGTAACAGTTTCTTAGCATTTCTACAGTCTGCAACGCTACAAATGTATCCTTGGTTAGTCAGTAAGCTAAAAGACATGGGGGACAGTTGCGCATCCTAAGTTTTACTAACCGGTTTGTCTTAATTAAGTTTATTGAAAAATAACATTTCAACATGACAGGCAACACCACATTAGAGGAATGAACATTAGAGCAACACCAATTCAATGCTAATGAAAGTGGGAGTGTCTGGGACCTTGCAAACTGTGAGACAAACAGAGAGAAGCCTCAGGTCACCTGCTTAGCAAAAGCTGGCACCCCTCAACCAGGAAATATTTGTATTTACACAGAAGTTATCAAATACTCTTCGGAACTGGACTCTGACTTCAACACAGCATTTGCTCTGGGCTGTATAACATTACCACTCTCTGTATCTGATAGAGATCATATAAACGATACTGATGTAGCCAGCATGCAAGGTCACATGTGGCTCCTAGAACAAAAGAATGTCACATATAGGTCGTCACTCGTCCTTGGCATTATTAACCAATAGCAGTAATGTGATAGGGGAAAATCCATTTTACGTTCAAGACCTGGAACAATCATGGCTGCAGAGTCCTTGACCACTATAAATACTGTAAGTTCACCGCACATAGACGTGACCAGCATACATTACAAAAGCAGCTGGGTGACATTGATAGGTGAGCTCTGGCATGAGGCTACAGACTGACAATATCAACAGCTGATGTAAAGCTTTGATAAACACAAGCAAAAACTCATAATTTATACATACTGAAACTCTGCATAATAAAAAGCTTGAATCCGTTTTTCAAGGCTATCTAACTTAAAGGCATTGGCTGACAAATTCTCCTTGTTGCAGAACTAATATTGTTTTTGAATAAATACTGCAGATATACTGTACACAGCGAACAGCCTCTATTCAAGCCAAATGTTGGTGAGTCGGTCAATTTCGTTTAGTCTAAAGGCATACGATTCAAAAATGTTGGTGACAATACAAACATGCTACCCTTTTTTTAATCAACCAACTGTTTCATCCTCACACCCATCTTATAAGAGGTTAAGAGTCTATAAGGGATAGTTTTTGTGAACCGAACACCTTTGAACTCAGGCTTCCCATGAAAATAGAAACATCATAAATAAATACATGTCAAATCATAGTAACTGATTAAAGAACACACACAACTTAGAGACACATATTGGGTAACCTTAAACAACTAGACTTTTAAAGCCTGTCCACTCCTGTGATGGGAATCGTAAAAAAAATCCTTATGATGCAATTGAAACAAGAAAATAAAACAAAATGAGATGAAAAACATTAATTATGCTGACCAGCATGAATGGTGAAGGCAAACCGCAATGCATACTCACTAGTGCAAACGTGTCACTAAAATACGATTTTTTTCTAAATAAAAAAATCTAAGCACAGACTTCCTGTACAGCTTAAGAGACACTTATTAAGAGGATGAATTAAGTGATTCTGAGGTGATACCTGGCAGACAACCAGCGGTATCTGTCTGTCACTCAAAAGCAATTAGCTAATCGCTGTGTATGGGCACCTCATAAAGACCACCTGCCTGACTGCTTACCATGCTTTTATAAATTAGGCGTTTAGATTTAAATGCTGCTCTTATTAGGCTTTTGGCCAGAAACTCCTTGTGTAAGAGCACCTTATAAAGGCAGGTAGTTGTCCCCTGGAGCTCCCTCTAATGCTGTGTACGACTTAGTTGGTGAACTTGTATATTCTCCTTCTCTGGATACTCCCTGTAAAAGCAACATCTTTACTGTTAGGACCTATTCCGTGACACTGTAATCTAATCATGTTGCATATAGCAGTAAATAAGGTTTTAAGATTTAGGATCTGCCCGTATAGGCTCTTTGCCTTGGTACACAGTCGACCAGGGCTGAGGTGGTGTGACAGACCTGCAAGCAGTCCTGCATCCCGCCATTAACCGCCAGGAAACAAATCACAATGCTGACTGGCGAGGCTGGAGCAGGTTTCTGCAGCTGCTGGGACACCTAAACTTTCTGCAACAGACCAGGTGGAGGTAAAGAGCTGCCCGTCTATCCACAACAAGGAAGATTTGTCCAAAAATGCTCACTGAAGGTAGAGACATCATAGCAACAGTCTCTTCTATGTCCTTGTCCTCTCTTTTCTAACAACTTTCATCATTGGAGATCATCACCATTTTCTTTATTTCCCCACACAGAGCCACTGTCCTAGTCATGTAGGTCCCCTCTGCAGTCTGAGAGAACAAAAGATGGTTTTAATGTAATTACATTTTTCTGGACCAAATCTAACTTCTAATTCTGGTGCTGAGCGTTTAAGCCATCTCCCCGCCCTGCACACCTGTCCTCAGTAAACATGCAAATCTCACAATCTGGATTTTATTGAGAATTTTAACTTGTCGTGCTTCATCTTTGAAGAGGACGAGACTCCTCCAAAATCACTGGGAAGTACTGCTGGGTATTTGGTAAGGAACTTACAATAAGATACGTATCATGATACATGGCTCCTGAGACTATACCTATTGGGATACTTTGCAATACTCTACATCATTTACTGAAAAATTTTAAGGTGGCGTTTTGATCATGCTATTTAATTGAATGTCTCAAGGATTGGGTTGCAGGAGCGTGTCCGGACTTGCTACCCCTGGCCACCCCTCTGGACACGCCCCTGTTGGGTTGGTATCAAGAACCCTAGCCCTTGGTTGGTTTCATTCTTTTCTTTTAGAACAAAGCTTTGCCTGTAGTGTACCCCAAGGTTCAGTTTAAAGTCAATTTTGTTCTCCATATACATATTGTCACCACCATGTCTCCTTCCATTGTTAAGCAGACCATGGTTGCACAAGTACCCACATGAAAAGAGCTAGCTCTAAGTTCAATTTAGTTAATTTAAATGAACAAGTTTGTTTTTGAAGTTAACAATTTTAAATTTTGAAATAAGTGCACAGTTAAAAAACCTAGTTCAAATGACCATATTTAGCTGCATCAAGCTACTCTTTTTCAGTAAGCAGAACCTCTGCCACACAGTACCTCAAAATGTGAGCAGCAGTGTCTCCAGAGTGAACTAATATAATGAAGAGTACCTGCTCTTTTTGTAAATAGTGAATTGGCACTATAGAAATAAAGTTTTATGGGTGCTGGTGGCGCAGTGGTTAGTGCGCGCACCCCATGTATGGAGGTTATAATCCTCCACGCAGGCGGCCCAGGTTCAAATCCAACCTGTAGCTCCTTTCCTGCATGTTGTTCCCCACTCTCTCTCCCTGATTTCCATCTCTATCCACTGTCCTATCCCTCCAATAAAGGCAACAAAAAGCCCACAAATAAATCTTTTTAAAAAAAAGAAAGAAACTACAGTTACGTTCTCATTCATAAGTTGCACTGCACAACAGGCACACATATACACCTTCCCTTGAGGTGATACCTGACTGTCTCAGTGTTATTAACTACTGTATGGTACTAAACTTTCTGCAACTCAATAACTTAAAATGATCAGATTCAATCAAGAAAAAAAAAAAAACCTAACCATCTTATTAAGATGAATCCTTATCTGCCAATATTAAGCCCACAGTCAGAAGTTTAGGAGTAATGTTTGATTCCTGCCTTTCCTCTGAAACTTACATGAAATTACAGATAATTTATCTTGAAGTCATACAGAGGCAGACATGTTTACCTGATCACTAAAACACTTGTGCATGGCATCGCCAATAAATACAGTTATCATTCACACTCAGCAGACAGTCACTTTTTAATCTAAATGCATGTACAAGTTCGTGCTGGTGTTGGTGAATTCGACAGTTTTTGCAATGAGTCTGATTTGCATAGAAGGGGGCACCTTGTTTATGGAGTGATTACACCCCCACCCTCCCACCGCCAACCTCGATTGACTGCATAATGGGGCATTTAAATGCAAGCAAAGAGAACCCCGACCAACGCTCATTAAAACTGCACTCTACCGACATGTTCTTATCTTCCACTCACTGTTACCACAGGGGGCAGGATGACACATGAACACAGACTGACAGTCTCACATTCAGACACAGAGGAGCAAACGACGCCTGGGTGTAGTGGTATTCATTTTATGTCAGAGACTCTCCGCCTTGTTTTTTTTCTCTATCAAATGAGCAAACTGTCCAGTCAGATAACTACAGTAACTACTATGAGAGAAATACATTTAGACTTTCAAGCAAAATATCAAAAATACAAGCAAACCTTGAAAACACAACATTAAAATTTGAGCATTTTCAAGAATTTAAAGGACCTGTAAGAACTATGTATGTAATATTTGAAGCTGTTGTCGGTACGTTTCTATTAGAAAATAAAGGTTTAACTCACTTAGTCATAACTGCCCGCCTGGAATTTTCCCGTCTCTCATAAAAAGAGTTTACAAAAATGAACTACGAATCCCTTCTCCACAAACACTTTCACGTAAAAAAAGACAATGTGGTCTAACTGACATACAGATGTTTATTGACCTTCAAAAGTAAGAACTTGGCCGATGTGACTGCACATCCACAAGTACAAGAGCTCCTAGTAGAAAACACACTTGCTGACTGCAACGGGACGCGTCTTGTCTAATATTTGGATAAGACAAGTGTGGAGGTCCAAGGAGTTGTTCTTTGGTAATTTTGTTGTTTAAAGCTTATACCCTTTCAATCTGAATGGCTACTACTTAAAGTCTCACCAAAGCAACCATTGAACAGACCTTGACATTGTGCTCTTGGGCAAAAATATTCCTTTATAAAAAACTTCACTCCACTCCTGAAGCAGAGGGACACATGGTGCTGTTACTTTCCCATCCATTAATGGACCAGACCTTCTCTCAAAATCAACATTTTTTTATTTACTTTTATCAAGATTTAACTTTAATTCATTATTCTTACTTTCAATGTATTTGCTATCTTATTTATTTGTGTGACTGGTGTGTGCTCATAAGCAACAAATTGACTTTTATTTTGAAAAATTAAACATTTTGTAATTAGTCTTGCAGGCGTGAGAGGAAGGCTAAAAGTCAACTCAGTTTGCTTTCTTTGTTTTTAAAGACATTCATTCAAGCTGTTAGCAGGTTTCAGCCCATATGAAGCGATTTGTGATCCTGTACAGACATGACAACAATATGACTTAAAATATGACCATACTTTCTTGTTAGACCAGTCATGCCACCATCTTTGTTTATTAAATTCAACATTTTGTCACACACAGCACCAAATCTGCTGATAGTAGCTACTTGGCTTTAAAATGTTCTGAAAAAAGGATATGGTGGCTTGGGTAAGCTAGCAAGAAGTTCTTTTCTTCTTTTTTTACTTCAGTTCTGTAGTAACTTGTATTTTCTTTCACATGTGGCGACAATTGGATTAAATGGTAAATGAACTTGTATAACACTTTCCTAGTGTTCTGACTACTCAAAGCACTTTTTACACTGCAGGTCACACCTACACATTCACACACTGATTTCAGAGACTGCTGTGAAGTGTCCATCAGTATTAACGTATCCATTCATACGCATTTACACCCTGCTGGCGTAGCAGCAGGAGCAATTTGTGTTTAACACTTGGCAAGTGACACTTTGGCTTGTGGCTGCAGGAGAGCTGGATCTAACCCCCACAACCCCCCCCCCCCCCCCCCCACACACACACACACAAGTGTTTCAAGGTGCCCCCCTTTCAGCTGTGGATAACACAGGGTACTTTGTGTGATATAATTCTATACTGAAGTCTGCTCTTATTTTAATTTGTTCAGAACAGATTCAAGCCAAGGTGCTGCATTAACACTGAATAAAAATGCATTTAGTAATCAATACATGAAGGAAAATATGCATTTTATGAAGCAATCTATAAAATAAATAAAAAAACACAAGCTGTTTATAGTCCCTTTAAATACTTGACTCTAATTGTAATTTTGCCTTGTTCTATGTTATAGAGAGACACATAAGCTGTGCTTGCTTTGTTGGCATGCAGGCATTAAACATATATAAGGGGAGCAGAAAGGCTGTGTGGGGTCTACATACCAAAGACTGTTCGTGCTGGGACGGATTCTTTATTTATCCAGAAGGACACTTGGGAAAGGATTACTGTCATTATGCAGGGGATATACGTCTGAATCATGAAGTAGCCCATTTTACGTTTCAAGTGGAAGAAGACCGTCATCACCACATATTCACCTGTAGGATCAATAGAAAAGAATGACTTTGGTTAACAAATAATATAAAGATGCAATCTGCCCTATTAGTTTTGATGTACTGGATGAGAAAGATGTCACAATAAATTGATCTATTTGATCATTCATTTTACTCTATTTTTTGTTAGAATAAGCCCTCTGAAATGCCTCAACTCATTTAATCGTAAATGTTTTGTTTTAAGAGACTGGACTTCAAGCTCCAAATACTTCAAATATCTCCACCCATATGCACATTGTTTGTGCTGTTTATTACAGAAAATACTGTAGTCATGACAAACAGACAGCAAATATCTTTAAATAAGAGAGAAGATTATTATTCCTACACTTTTAACAATTCATCTGTAACAGAAAGTATAGGTTAATCTAGTGACACCATTTAGTCAAAAGGTATCACTTTATTATACAGGCCACTTAAGCATATCTGTGAGCAGCCAAGGTGGTGATATCTTGAATTTATCTTGCACCTACCTCTTAAACCCAGATTTTGATGAAGACATGTATAAGACTTTATATTTTATATATATATTTTTTCACATTTGATGCTCTTTTGTTACGCTTATATTTATACTATTATGTTGAAGTAATCTGGCATCAAAGATTCCTTCAGGATCAAAACATTTTCATCCTGGGGCGCGCTGGTGGCGCAATGGTTAGGGCGCGCATCCCATGTATTGAGAATCTCATCTCGAGCAGTAGGCCTGGGTTCGCTTCCACCTGCGGCCCCTTTCCGCATGTCATTCCCCACTCTCTCTCCCTGGTTTCCGACTCTATCCACTGTCCTCTCTCTGCATTAAAGGCACAAAAATAAATCTTAAAAAAAAAAAATGTCATCCTATGTTAGCTTAACAGTTGTTCATAGACATTTTAGGATAGGATGGGCAATTTATTGTCATTGTACAAAAAAACACACCAAAACTTTGTTTTCAGCAATCTCGTCCTGTCAGCAGCCTTAAAAAATATTGTCAAATATTAATATATATCCTTAGCTATATAAAGTTCGAAATACTTGTCCTACATTGAATGAGCAGAAAAAAGCTTATGGTCAGTTGACAGACAAGAATAAACCGGTGAAGTTATTGCAGTGACTGAAGGAGTAAACAGTATTGTGTTTTTCCTGAATAATAAATAGTAATTGTACATTGACTTAACAAATAAATAAGCAGTTATAGTTCTGTAGGTGAATGGTTAAACAAACAGTTATAGTGCAATAAATTGTTTGTACAATTTAGCAGCAGTGAGGTTAATATTGCACATGTATGAAGTGTCTTGTTTGGTAGAGGGGGGTTATAGATTCTGCAGTTTGTCCACAGCTTTGGGAAAGAGGCAGTTCCTTGGTCTGTTTGTCCGTGAGCAAATAGTTCTGAGTCTGTCTAAGGGAAGGGTGGTAAATGTGGAGTGTCCAGGGTGTGATGAGTCCCTTTTGATGGACGAAGCACATTTGTGAAGACGGCTCGAGTGGATGTCTCTAAGGGATGGGAGAGGGGAGCTAACAATCCACTGAGCTGTTTTGATAATCCTCTGAAGATCCTTCTTCTCTGCTGCACTGCAGATAGAATACCAGCCATACATCAGGATAGTCTCTATTGTGCAGCAGTAGAAGTTCTTCAGAAGATCATGGGGGAGTCTGTTGCGCCACAGTGTCCTTAGGAAGAGGCTCTTTTGATCAGATGTGATGTGTTCAGGCTCAAGCTAAGGTACTATGGGAAGTACACCCCTAGGAATTTAAAGCTGTTGACACTCTCCACCTCTTCCTCATTTACGCGCAGTCCATTGTGATGTGTTTTTATTTTATTTCCTGAAGTCAATTATTATTTCACTGGTTTTCTTTGTGTTGAAATCGTCATTGTTTTTACACCATACAGAGAATGTTTGGACCGAATGGCCTCATTGTTGTTGGAGATCAAAACTACAATGGCGGTGTCGTTTGCAAATTTGAAGAAGGTGTTTGAGCTGTGGGTGGGTTTGCAGTCATGGGTGTACGGGGAGTATAGGAGTGGACTGAGGACGCAGCCTTGGGGTACACCGGTCTTGAGGATGATGGTGGAGGAGATGCTGTTTCCGAGCCTGACATGCAGTTATTATCATTACACCAGGGACGGTTGGAAACCCAAATTTTAATCTTATGGACCTTGTTGATGAGGGAGTGGACATTTGTAAGAAAAGAAGTTCGGTAGTGAAGCTCTATGTGGAGCTGCTCTTAGCCTAGCGGGTTACCGGCTCGCCTTCCTCGCTTTTGTCTCCTCTCGCCTCACCTCCTGTGCTTCCTTTCAGCTGGTATCTTTGTTCCAGAGCGAGTTTTCTCCACCGGGAATGAGCATAATCCTTCAGGAGTACTTTCTGGCATAATGTTTCTCAGTTTAAAAATTCAATTGGATATTCGGCCTTTATTTGGGTAAAAAGCTACTTACTCTCAGAGAGCCCCGCGTCTATATGTAACACCATCTTGGTCTAGATTTTCACTATACTATATTCTAATATCTTTAATATATGTATTTTATAAAAATCCTTTTCTATGTTATTTTATTTTATGTTATTAATCCCAATATCATTATCAAACTTTTTTTATTTGTTCTGATCTATTGTCAGCTTGTTATACATAGCACTTCCACCCAGCCTGTTTTAGCCTGCATGCGGAAATTATTTTCATGTCTTTGTAAATTTAAAGGACAAAAAAAGAAGAATTAAATGCTCTTAAATGCCTCATAAATGCTTTATGAAGATCACATATTAGCGCAATTTATTCGGCTCTCAATTAATCATTCTCTGAATAGATAATTGTAATATAAAACTGTTAAGAAAAAAATCTGTGTTATTTGTTGGCAAGCTTCAAATGGGACCCAGGTGAGTTTAGCCTCCATCGCTTTGAAATGGAACGATAACATTATTTGTACTTACTTTTAAGTTAGGGTAACAAAAAGGCAAATTTGGATGGACGGAGATCACCTTCACTGACCTAAAAGTCTCACCTGTGATGGATTTAATGGTTTCACTGGAGACAGTCTGGCCGATGAGATCATACTGAACAAGGCTGGATGACTCAAGAGGGACCTCCACTGAATGCTTAGGCCCCTTGGTCCAGGTATAGATCATCTCTGTTAGAGGATATGCATCTGTGGGAAGACAGGAAAGACAATGTGAATGCACAGGAAGCAAGGTGCTTTTTGCTTGCTAAGAATGTGAGATGGGAAATGTATATAAGAGGGTAGAGATGGAGGATACATAGGGTTTTCAAGGACATGGTTTAACTTTCAGAGCTTAAAGTCATATGTAGGAATTTGGTTTAGTGCAAATTGGCAATCCAACCGACTGTTGCGAGACACACATAGTGCTGTTATGCCTACATTAAGATAACCAATCAAATACATCCACATATATATACATCTCATCAGCCAATGAGACTGCAAAAGTGGTCTGATTTGGTTTTTAGGTTAGAACGATGAGTACTGACAGTCTATGGTACTGACATGGAGGACAGGGGCGTGTCCAACAAAGGCAAGGATGACACCATATTCGGTCAATGAGTTGGAATCAGGGGGATGGTTTAAAGTTTGCACGAGAATCTTTAAGAATGCTCCAAAAATAAAGAATAAGAAGAGCAGCAAGACACAGTATAGTACAATTCAAGAAAGCTATTGTCACAAAAAAATACATCAATGGACTTTAAATTTTAAAAGATAAATTAAAAATCATACAAGATATTAAATACAAATATTGAAAAAACAATTTAAAAAATGACAAATTATTGAATATTAAGAAACATGAGGACATAAAAAAAATTGTTTTGAAGAAATTAAAACCGTAAAAAAAAAAAAAAAAAGCTTAATAAAAGATCACACTTAAAAGCACTATAAAAACTCATTAACTTAAAAATCTTCATTCATCCAACCTGGAAATAAACTTTGAGAATAAAAACATGATTAAATTAATATTACCACCTCTTAGATTAAGTTTGATGGCCTGACTATTTTGCCCGGTTTATTTTTCTTCGTCTTTTATAGGTCACCATACAGTCGGTGGATTATTAAAAACATTTTGTAATTGTGGATCATTTTGAAGAATGTGCCAGTGTTTTAAAATGACATCCTTGATGTTTTTGGTTTTATGGGTGAATATAGTGCCGTAGACAAGGTGTGGCTTAGATTTAAAGGATTTATTAGTTGACAGGTATGCCTCTCAGCCTGGCCTAGCCTTAAATAATCTGTCAGGTTGTAAGATTAGTCTGTTGCAAGGTGGTTATACATGGAGACATAACCAGGTGTTGAAAAGCAGCAGGAATTGAAAGTAATCAGGAAAAGCATGTAGCGTTCCAGTTTGTCCGTGAGGGAGAATGCAAAAGAAGGTAGATCTTTCAGCAGACACCAGTCAGGCATTTTAAAGAGTGCTAATGGCTGGGAGATGAAGGTAGATTTGGGAGGAAAATTGTTGCGCCACAGGAACTAGTTTGCAGTAACCTGAGGCAGTGTCATGATCTGCGAGGCAGCGGATAGTGTATTTTATAGAACTGACAGTTCCCTGGGAAGACTATGTGAAGGAAGCATATGAATGAAAATGCTGAGATATGCAGATGTAGGGCCAGAAGCTGAAAAGTGAGGAGGACAAGTTTTGGCCAGTAGAAGTGGGATGTAGAGGGCAAAATCCACTTTTTCCTTACTGGGAGGATTAAGAGTGCAGGACAGATTTTGTGAAAGATAGTAGGAAGACGTCAGGTGAAGCATCTAAAGCCAGTCAGTGGATTTGGATGAGGAGTAATGCCAGTTGTGGGCCAAGATAAAGGTAAGAGAAAACTATTCAACTCCTTTTTTTCTCTCTTATCTCCTCTTCTCCCTCATGAAAATGAGGTAGTAGGGGGAGGTGGAGGTGGAAAAAGCCCTATAGTTTGACCCCTCACAAGCTACCTAAGGCTGAGGTTAACAACTTAGAGCAGCTCTCACCGATTTTTCTACAGGAGTTGAATTTAAATATTTTATTTTGTAAGACACTTTTATGAAGACATTGGTGAAGAAATGTCTTGGTATGGAATTTATTCCTAGATTTTAACAATATTCCCCTTCTATATTGGTTGGTTGATGTTTGTCAAAAGGGTCGATACAGACGGTCAACTCATACACTGGTGCATCCCTTATCATGACAATTAATTTGCCATTTATCCACTGATAAATAGCCTTTTGAACGGTATGGGGTAATCTATAAAGATCAAAGATCAACATGTAATCCTTGCACCGCAAGTTTTGACTGCTACATCTTTACATTCAGTCTCACATGCACACAACACTTACAGCTTCCAAACTTGAGGGGGCACGAATGTCCATCCATTGGAAAGTCCACAAGCTTCATGGGACACTCTGCACTTATAGTCAACCTGTTACAGTACAATGAAGACATGCTCATTGAGGGACCAAATTAAACAGCTACACACACATATGCACCAAGTTTGTGCTACGACTAGAAACAGCAATGTCAAAATAAGATTTACCCTTAACATTACGCTGTTCATCATCAACAGAGTGATAGCTATTAAAAATCTTGGCTCACAAAATGTTAGCTTACACTGTTAGAAACTTGAACTAGACAAATAGAAAGATAGAGTGGACTCTTACACAACGTGAATAAATGTCAGTATTGTGTTAGAAGAACTCGTGAAAAATACATGAATTATTAAGGAAGGTTGAAGAGCATCTTAATTGCTTTAACTCAACATTGTCAGTCTTCTCTTTATTTCATCATTTTATTAAATATACACTAACACCAAATATAAAATGTGTGTCAAATAAAGAGTCTATTCCATATTACAAATTAGCATATGTTAAAATATCAGGTCAAATACATCAGAACATGTGTTGCCAACATTATTATTTTTTTAAATGTGAAATTTTGAATTTTCATATTTTGAATCAGGCGTTTTTTAAAACTGATTGTCTATGGTGAAATAGTTACACATGCTGTAGTACCTCATTGTGTACAGAATGGTGCCATTCTTCATGATGCGAAAAAGCTTGTTTGGGGCTGTCATGTTGTGAGCGACCGACCTCTTGCCATTCCTGAAGAAGGTGTCTGGTGTCCACACTTTAGTCACCATCAGGTTGTTCAGCCTCAGAATTTCTATAGGCCCCTCGTACATCAACCGCTGGTCCACCCACGTCTGTCGAAAGAACACGTCCATTGTGTATTCCTAGGACATGAAAAGAACATTCACAGTTGGTCGTCTGGTAGTTAGTATGATGTTGTTTTTATAAATATGCTGAAGAACACATTCTAAGAGAAATATTTGTTCCATCCAAATATAAAGTCAAAATCAAAATCCTTGAATTGGTTTAAAAAAAACAACATGAGAGTTATCTACTTGTCTAATGCAATTACCATATTAACCTTGAAGCTATGTGCATCTATAGAAGGAGTATTAGGGCCACATTAAGGGGGGGGATGGGAGATTTGGAGATTAATGTCATAAATTTACGAGAATAAACTCGGAAATTTGTGAGAATAAAGTCGTAAGAGAAGAAAATTTTACATTATCGAGAACAAGATTAAAGTCGTACATTTCCTGGAATGAAGTTGTTATTTTGTCTACAGTTACATTAAAAGAGCAGCAGACGACTGTTCCAAAATGACAAACGTTGAGCATTTTGTGGAGTTATACTTCAGCAAAGGTTTCATAAATAAGGAAATACTTCATTGTGTATTCTGTATCACAGATTGAGTATTAACTGACCTGCTTTAAAACAACAGTTTGAAGAGGACTCCAAATATCCCATTAGTTGTGCTAGTTGGGCTTTACTTATGCAGATATGAAACCACACATTCTTTTGGCACATCAGCATCACATTGTCATAAGTATCAGGACCCTGAAAAGATACTGCAAGAAACTGGGGCTTTGCCAAAGAAAGAACCACACTGACTCTGAGGAAAGTGTGTGGCAGAGCAAAAGGCTTTGAGGGTTCCCCTTTCATCATTTTTGTGCAGGCTGATGGCTGCTCTTCTGATACAACCTTTTAGTATAATAATTTTAACCACAGCCTAAATCAAATCGATTTACGAATTTCTTACCGTAAAATAATGACTTTATTCTTGTACATTCACGACTTTAATCTTGAAATTTTAGGGGAAAGAAAATCTTTAATGTGGCCCTAATACTCCATGGTAAATCTATTCTCATAAGAATGAACAGAAAGACACACAGCAAACAGATACACACAACCTTTGTTAGCTTTAGGTACATACCATGTCAACATCTGAGACAGGCCCAAAACTAGTCACATAAATATCGGTCTTTACCTCAGTCACAGAACCTGCTGAATGAAAAAAACAGAAAAGAAAGCTTTTATATTCACTGATTGTTTCCTGCTTCAAATCCCTCCATTTGTCAAAGTCCAGCTTCATAGCAACCACAGTTTCATTCACTTTTAACAGGCCTATCACAACAATAAGAGATGCAGTGATTTATCTCAACCATCATGGTGTAAGTAAAAAAAAACACTGCTTCAAAGATGTAAAGATATAATCCTGAAGAAGGTTGTGGATTGAGTTAAAGGTCAGCAGTATGCCTGACCTTCTGCTTATTTATGTTGAAGCTTCTTTTCCACATCAGTGTTTAAAAGTAACGCTGGTGCTTTTATTTATTTTTTTACAGAAAAGTGATGCCACAATACCCAAAGGCCATATCTGTACTTTTAGCACTTCAACTTTGCATTAACCTTGCAACATATACACGGTTATATAACTGCATTTGATTAAACATGCAAGTAAGGCGCCTTAGATGGAACACCTGCAGGCCTGCAGGATAATATATGAAACACAATCCAAGATCGAGTGTGTTAGTTATAACTGTTCCTAAAAGCATCCCTCCTCTGTTTACTGGGTGGTCCTCTCTTCATTGTAAGGTGTGTTTAAGCACTCAATCAAAGAAGTCAATTTAGAAGTAGAGTTAATAAGAATGATTAAGGATCATCACTCTTAGAATAAAATTGTGTTTGCATTTGATACTAAGTGAGTTCCCAGTTACAGCTTACAGCACTTAATATTTTATTTTTAAAATTAAGAAAGATATACTGTATCTTCCTTTCTCATTTGATCTGAAAAAGACAATCCATGACCTCCATGTGACTGTTGGTAGTTTTCATATGGAAAATGATTGATAATCCACTGAAATACAATTTTTTCCCCTACATACCCCCGAATCCAGGTCGCAGCCTGTTGTCATAGCCGTCAAGAAGTCGGTCTAAAATGAAAGTAAAATTCTCAGGATAGATCCTTTCATCCTTCCTTGTCTGTCCAGAAATTTTCTTTGCACTAGAAACACACACAAAAAAAAAAACACACCAAAAAAAAAAAAAAAAAAGGAAAACAATTATGATATAATAATTTCAGAGTAGGGTGAGCAGGTTTCAACAGCAGGGAAAAAGAGACACAGTGTGACTCACCAAGTCGCCAAACACAAAAAGTAGAACATAGTCCGAATAAACGCGGGTCTCATCGCTGTCACCGTGTCCTTCTGCTTGTAAGAAAACATCTCTGCATGCCATACTTTAAACCCCTTCGCATGTCACCTCACCAGATGCCCGCGTCCCATGTGGAGGGAATACATAGACACAGAGGGCAAAGTGGCGTAGAAACAGAGCAAGTTGAGCGTCTCTCCCGCTCCTGCAGTCTCTCCGCCAGACGCACAACGCACACATTCACGCACAAAGCAGGAGGACACGCACACACACGCACGCACACACTCACACAGCCCCGGTCACCTCTCATCCAAACCCGAGCTGCTGATGCTGCTGCTACTTGTTCTGTTGGTGGTGCTTGTATGAGAGAGAGAGAAAAAAAGCTCGCCCTCATTCACTATGCCTCTCTCTGCCACTTTCTCTCACTCCCTCTCTCTCTTTCCCTCTATTCTCTCCGTCTCTGTTTGCTTTTTACTCTTCTCCTGACACACACACACCTGCTTAGGTCAGGACGCAGATGTGCATTGCCTTTAAATGACTTTAAAAATGAGGAAGCAAATTGACTTGTCCAGTTCCTTCCTTCAAAAATCATTTGGTGTTTCCTGAAAGCATGAACTCCCAATGCCGTTCAAAGTCAGACATAAAGTCCCATGTATTTCCTTTAGATTTCATATTTTCCTAGATCTTCTCCCTGCATGCCCTTTGACCTGCATCCTATGTCAGTGTCCATCACTCCTGCTGCTTTGTGACAATTACCTAAAGCATATCCAACATGTTGAACCAGTTTTAGGAATACATAAGTGCCTGTATTAATATTAAAATGGGTCAGTCTTGTCGCAATACGCAATCACACACATACACACAATGGCACACAGGTACTGTAGAGGAACTGGGGCAAGCCACATGCTGCTTCACAGATTTCTCTGCACCTGGGCAAAAAGACACTGTGTGTGAGGGGGTGTTAATGACGTTTAAGTGCTGGTGAATTTCACATGATAAACAAGAACTCTGGGTTCCACTACATTGGCATTTTTTAAGTGCACAAACACACACACACACGGGCTGAAAGTTCAAATATATAGTTTAAAGAAAAAAAATGCATGCTCATATAACATGCAAGTCCAAGTCATGTATTGAAGTGTATAACACAGCTCCAAATCCCCTGCACAGCCACCTACCATAGTCCACCCACAATAGAGGAAGGCTGTTTGTGTGTGTTGTTTGTGGGGGAAGCATGTCTTATTTTTTTTCACTTCCCTTTTATATTACAATATTGTTCTAAGAAAGGAAGCACTTTGGGCTAACTGTACAAAAGGTTGTGATAATATTTATTCAAAAGCAGTGAAATGCCTTGAAATGTCAGGAGCGGTTTCATGGAATTCACATTGGCCTTATTATTCCATGTTGACCTTTCTCTGTAAGTCTCTCCTGTGTCTGAATTTGAAATGATGTAATACTGTGATAACATACTGTAAGTGGCATGAAGACATACTTTAAATATGCAGCACAAAATATTTGAGTTCCTACTTTTATTTCTGTTTCATTTCATTCTTCTAGTCTCTAATACAGTTCCTAACACAGCTTGTCCTGAGATACCTTCCTGCTTTCTGGTGTATACCTTGGGGCAGGAACATGCTTTGATAACCTTGTGATCAGTGTAAGTGCATGATTGTGTGCAGTATGATCAAGAGGAAAGTAGACAGGTTGGGTTATGGCTCTGTTTTGGCTGGTGTGTGTGATTTAAAGTGTTTAAGGGCATGGGGGTAGAGAGTCATTACAGTGCCTACTGGAGGATGCTGGTACATGATGATAGCCTTCAGAGAGCCCTAATGACACCAACTGCAGCTGCTGCAGCGGCAGAGCTTATCAGCTGGAGCTCCGCACACTGTCCCATCACCCCAAGTCTCTTAATTGATATTTCTGAGGACTTTTCCACAGTTACTACCACTGCACGAAGGAGAACGGATTGAGGAGAGAGGAGAGAAATCAGAGGAGAGATGAGTGAGGATACACCAGAGCATCCTCGACTTCTCCTTTATGGATAACACTCATTGTTTGCATGATGCAGCTGATCACACTTCAGTGAAACTTGACAACATCAAAAGACTTTAAGAATGGAGATTTATTAGTATTATTGTTAACAATAGCCATCATAGTTTTGCTGTTGTAACTAATTTATATGATATTTAGTTATATTGATATTGTTGTCAATCTATATTATTATTATTATTGTTATCATCATCATCATTAGTCTTGTTATACTCTACTGTCATTTAGGTGGGCAACCTCTTCTTTGTTTACATGTATGTATATGATCATGTAATTGATGTCTTTTTGAATAAGTAAGGTATTTTACCTGCTTTTTGTAAAGTGTCTTGAGATAACACTTGTTATGAGTTGACGCTATACAAATAAATTGAATTGAATTTAATGGAATTTAATTGAATTAAATTGAATTGAATTGAATGTAGAGACAGTGAGTCAATATAAATACTTGGGTACGATCATCGATGAAAAACTGACCTTTGATTCGAACACTGTTCTTCTTAAGAAAGCTGAAGAGTTTTAATGTTGACAGATCTCTTCTGAAAATGTTTTATTCATCTTTTATTGTGTCCATTTTGACTTTTGTGATGATCTGCTGGTTTGGTAACCTCCGCATCACTCACAAAAACAGGCTGGGAAATATTGTTAAACTATGCCGAAAGATAGTTGGGTTGACTTGAATGATCTTGGCCATATTTTTCAAGTTAGACCCACTCAGAAGGCAAAGGCCATCTTGGAAGACCCTCAGCACCCCCTGCATGCAGAGTGTAGACTTCTGCTGACAGGGAGGAGGTTCATTTATGTTGACGGTCAAATCTAACAGATATCTGAGGTCATCAGTTGGGTTTTTTAATAAGCGGTAGGCATTGTTGCCTGTACACTTTTACTGTGTACTGTTAGTCTTTGTGTCCTTTATGTCACATCATCATCCATGGTAGTTATGATTTATATGTAGCCAATGTATTTATGTCATGTTGCTGTTTTTTTTTATGGATTTATTGCCTGTATGGATCTGTGTTGCAAACCTAATGGCCCTGGGGACAATAAAGATTTTCCAAATCCAAATGTGTATTGTCTGTTGCCTGCATTGCATTAATGTCTTCTTTTATTGGATTGTCGATTGTTTCATGGAAGTGCATGCAAAATATTTGATACCGCAGACTTTGGCGTTTAAAAGAAAATAATACGGAAAAAAACAACGGGAGAAAAAACTTGATTTAAAAAAGACACGTAGGGTAGCCTTGAAACAAGTTTTGAACATATAAAGGTTTCCGTTCTATTTTTGGTCCTAAAGTCAAAAGGAGTGCAAACAACTCCTTAAATATTATATTGCAAATATTATTTAATGATCAGTTCATGGCCCAGCTTATAGAGATAGGAGGAGTTTATCAATGAGAAACACTTACCTCTATGGTCATGTCCACAAAGTTTTGTAGGCCGATAATTGATGAGTGGAGGATATGAAAAGTGTTTGATTTGAATCAATAACTTTCAGTGTTCCTGAGAAATCATAAAGTTATCTGTGTTTATACAATAGTACAAAACTAAAACTAAATCAGTAAAAACTAATAATAGAATTATTAATAAATCATCTCACCTACTAATAAAGCGTTGTAAGGATATAAATTGTCTATATGGTTCTTAGCAGGACACAGTAAACAGAATAAAGGGACTGCAGGTTGTTCTTTATGAACATACAGAGACAACACAGTTACAGATAATTACAGCCCCTACAGCCTTGTTAAAGGCCTCACGCTGTGCTAAATCCCCAATCAGTCGAACTTTGGAAAAAGACGACTGATGCAATCTGTGGCAATCCTGTGAACTATTCTAAAACTGTCGACTTTGCATGTCAAATGTCCAGGCTGTCACCTGGCATGATACGCCATAGGCCAACCAAAAAAAATAATCAGGACTTCTAAATGATGTCCCAAGCCATGAACCCTCTTTTAATCCAAAGTTGTTTGGAGACCTTTGAAAGCCTGTTGTGTCACCCTGAAATTCCCCTTTATAACTCGCTCAGCATCCATGTAAATTCTGAGAACTGGCACACGGATGTTGAGCCTTGCATATGGGGTACGCTGGTATGACTATTAACATTATATAATTGGACTATAATTGATATCTTTTCATTTTTGTGGTTAAGATGTATTGACAAAAACAAATAAACTGAGTACATTGATAACTTGACAATAACCTCTCATCCAGTCTGTAGGACAAGAGCCTACATAATATGAAAATGAGGCAGTCGGTCTTTTAAGCGCCTTGGTTGTGAGGAAAGTAAAAAACGTTCAATAAAAAGTCCTAATGTGTGCAACATGACGTCATTCTGTCAGGGTTGAGGAAGAAGCTGCAAAGTTCTGTCCCTTTCTTACTGTGTGCGCCTACTGAACAGTAGGTCCTAAACAGTATACAGTACGGATAGCAGGGACTGTCTACTGACAGATTGAGGAGGCACTTTGCACTTCAGTGTTTCTTCCCTTGTGTGTCATTTCATTGTGGATGAACAGATTCCTGTGTTCCTGTGGTTATTTTTCCCTGTGGCCATTGGTTTGGAACTGAAAAGTAAGCTTTTGTTTTTGGACTTTGATCTGTACTGTGTCAGCGGTGGCCTAAACTGTTAAAAAATCACTCCGTATTTCTATTTATTGTAGGTAAAATTATGTATTTATGTTGATATGCCTTCAGTCATTTTTTATCTTATTTTGATGTAAACATTGAAACTAATACTGTTATGCTGTATATAAGACTTTATGATATGAACCAAGCGGCAACCTCCAGTCTAGAAAGAAAGCCAATGCGGAAGTGCATAATCGTGCACTTCGTCGAGTGTCCGCTTGTGGCTGGCTCCAGGAACATACACATGACTGGCCGCTTCAAAAACAAAAACCTAATAGTGTATTCTTAGCATTACATCCCTGTGTTAAAAGAGGCATCATTGTTCCAAATGAGTTGCTTATTTCATGCACATAGGCTATATTTCAAACAACTTTTATTTTTCTAGAGGAGGAGATAAGGGCTCCAGTTTGCTTCTGCTCTGCTTCCTCTACACAGAAGCCCTACCCCCCACCAGCAGTGGCAGATGTAGCCCTATACTTAGCAAATTGTTCTCCTGTGCCTTGACAATTGCAGCAGAAACCAGACACCAGATAACGCTCCGTTATTGACTCAGACAACAGACTCATATATAGGACAAACTTGTCACAACTGTGTCTTCATGAAGTCCATGGACTCATTTTTGATGCCCATTT